CTATCTATCCCTATCTATCTATATCTATCTATATCTATCTATATCTATCTATATCTATCTATATCTATCTATATCTATCTATATCTATCTATATCTATCTATATCTATCTATATCTATCTATATCTATCTATATCTATCTATATCTATATCTATCTATATCTATCTATATCTATCTATATCTATCTATATCTATCTATATCTATCTATATCTATCTATATCTATCTATATGTATCTATATGTATCTATATCTATCTATATCTATCTATATCTATCTATATCTATCTATATCTATCTATATCTATCTATATCTATCTATATCTATCTATGTATCTATATGTATCTATATGTATCTATATCTATCTATATGTATCTATATGTATCTATATGTATCTATATGTATCTATATGTATCTATATGTATCTATATGTATCTATATGTATCTATATGTATCTATATGTATCTATATGTATCTATATGTATCTATATGTATCTATATGTATCTATATGTATCTATCTATCTATCTATCTATCTATCTATCTATCTATGAATGTGTATGTATATATATATATACGGCAAATGCCTGGGCTTTGCCCGCAACCGCAACCACGACAGGCAACGCATCATCATCATCATCATCATCGTCATCATCATCATCATCAAACCCTTATTGGAGATTTTCAATGAATGTAGAAGTTGAACGGGGGTGGGAATATTAAACCCTTAATTGAAGATCTTCAATGAATGTAGAAGTTTAACGGGGGTGGGAGAATTAAACCCTTCTTGAAGATCTTCAGTGAATGTAAAGTTTAATGGCGGTGGGACTTTAATATTCCCTAATACCTTTGTTGATCTTCCCAATTGAATGTAAAGTTTAACGGGGGTGGGATTTCAATATTCCCTAATACCTTTGTTGACCTTCCCAATAGAATGCAGAGCTACAACAACATTTGATTAGGAATGGGGACCCTCTGCGCTGCAACACCTGGGCAAAGCCCAGGCGTTGCACGTGTATATATACGTATTTACATCTATGTACATATGTATGTGTCTGTGTATGTGTATGTATATTTGTATACGTGTATGTATGTCTATGCGTATGTGTACGTATGTGTCTGTATGTGCATGTATGTGTATGTGTATGTGTATGTGTATGTATGTGTGTGTATTTGTATGTATGTGTATGTGTATGTGTGCGTATGTATGTAAATGTGCATATGTATGTGTACATGTGCAAGAATGTGTATATATGTGTATGTATGTGTCTGTATGCGTATGTAGGTGTATGCATATGTGTATGCATATGTGTGTATGAGCATGTATGCGTACATATGTGTATGTAGTTGTATGTATATGTAAGTGTATGTATGGGTATGTATGCGTATGTATGTGCATGTATGTGTATTATGCGTATGTATGTGTATGTGTATGTGTATGTATGTCTATGTGTAAGTATGGGTTTGTATGTGTATGTATGTGTATGCATATAGTATATGTGTGTATGTACGTGTATATGTATGAGTATGTATGTGTACGTATGGGTATCTACGTGTATATATGGGTATTATGCCTATGTATGTGTATGTATTTGTATGTATCTATATGTATATGTATGTGTATTCTGCGTATGTATGCGTATGTAGGTGTATTATACATATGTATGCGTATGTGTGTATGTGTGTATGTCTGTATGTATGTAATGTATGTAATGTATGTAATGTATGTATATGTATGTATATGTATGTATATGTATGTATATGTATGTATATGTATTTATATTTATGTATATGTATGTATATGTATGTGCATGTGTGTGCATGTGTGTGCATGTGTGTCCTCGTGTATGTGTATGTCTATGGAGTCTATGGAGTCTATGGACGTATGTACATATGTACGTATGCACGTATGTATACCTATATATATATATACGTATGTACACTGGTGTATACATATATTTAGATAGGCCTACGTTTGATACAATATATATATAAATACATATAACGGTGTTTCTGTAAGCGAAGGAAAAAACTGACTTCCGTCATTTTCGGCTTCCCACATTGAGTTGGAGTCCTCCGGTGTAGCACCGTAGTCAACTTGCCCAACATACCTCGACATCTGGGCCCCAGAAAGCTGTGTTCACTGCAGCGAAAAAGTTAAAACCTCTTGGTTTCGGCAAAGTTTGCATTCAAATGATGGTTTAGATTAGTTTAGATGTTCTTGCAAGCAAGTTCTTGTATTGCTATTCTTTAAGGAAAACGCGCCAGAACCCCAAGCAGCAGACACTGATCGCTTGTCAACCTCTTCTCGATCGACACCTTGGAGGGTCGGAAGAAACCTTCTGACAATAGCTGTGCGTGTTGGCCTACAATTATCGATCAAACAGGGAAATTGCAACTATCACAAAAACTCTGTATCTACTCGTACTAGCTCCAAATTCTAACCTTCGCAATACCAAAAGTCCTGAAAGGAACCAAAAAACAGGATTTGAGCTACATCACCTTGAGGTGCACACCTGAAACCATGGGAAACCATGGGAAACCATGGGCGTTGAAAGATCAAACCCAAATTGACCCGAGTGATCAGCCTCTCGGAGAATGGGAAATCCACAGTTCCCACGGGACCCACGGGACCCACGGGACCCAACATGGCATGACATGGCCAGATTCCGGTGGTGAAGTCGCCATTTCTGGGCGAAATCTCGTTCATTCCCTCGGTAAAACGGCCACCAAGAATGGACCATTGGGATTTCGTGCCATCGCCGGTTTCATCTACGGAGTCGGTGAGTTTCTTCAATTTTTCGGCCTGCGGCGACAAACCTCATATTGGAAAAGGGGAGTGCTATGCAACTAGAATTTCTTCAACAGTAGTTCACAGACATGGCACTTCTTGTAAGGTACTGGCACCCTCTAAAAAACCACTAAGGATATCACTCACAGTAGTTCAACACAACAAAAAAGCTGGTTGAACTGTTGAACCACCACCATGGATTCACCGAAAGAATTCACTTGACAAATTAAAAAGGGTTTGACAACCCAAATGATGATTCAACCAGCGAAATTTGCTACTCCAAACAGCCAAACAGCCAGGGATCTACAGAAATCAAGCAACAAAATGGTCTAGAGTATGGCTCAGTATGGCAAATATCATTGACAAAATCCGTGATTCGGAGCTTCTGCAAAAAAAAAATATGATGGCAATATTTTCCATATCTCCAAAGCAGCATTGGGATACCAGTTGGAACCCGAACTCTCCGTGTCATCTGTCCATGGGAAAATGAGGATGATCCTGATCCTGATGATCCTGGTCGGATTCGGGAGATTTTGGAACTATTTTTAATAGAGAAACCCATATGACTCAACATGGCCACTGTCTCTGTGTCCACCTCTTCTTCCATCTCAGCGACTCTTTTCTGCATCTCCTGGAGATCGGAGCAGCCAAATCATATGAGCCCATCTCAAGAAGGTTTCAAATGGAACATCAACCGTTTCCATGAGCAGGATCTTCATCTATTTTTAGATGTGTATCTACCCATTGTATCCCATTGTTACTTTTTTAGATTTTTTTTCTAAGGTTTATATAGATCCCCATTATTGAAACGGGAAAAAAAAACGACATCCCCATCCTCGATTTCAGCATCTGCGGCGGTCAGGTCTTCACCAGCCTCCACCATTCTGCCGACCTGGAGTGGAATTCCATGGAGGTTTCCATAAATGGAGGTACCCCTAAATTTCATGTAAATGGATGGTTTATTTCATGGAAAATCCGAAATTAAAATGGATAATGACTGGGGGTACTTCCATTTATGGAAACCACCACATGGAATTACACCCATGAATGAAGATGCTGGTAGAAATGGGAAAACGACCTGCAAGGTACAACCTGAGACTGGGCATATCGGTTAAAAACACCTAGGAGAATGGTTTGCCAAAACAAACAAACTGCCAACAAATGCTGAGATTGGATACGTGAAATATGTTTTGCAAAGATTGGGATACAACCGCCAAATAGTGATGTTGCAGATATCTGTGAGTCTGTGACGAAACAAATATAAGAAGCTGCAAAAGGGAGATGCAGCCAACAAAAACCCAGGATGAAGATATCACTGACAAATCTGGGATAATAACGCATTGACACAAAATAAAATATTACCGTAAGAATGCAAACACAACCACTAATGTTGAACATGTTCATTGCGAGAGAGAAAACAAAACGGCAAAATCCGTGCATCCATTCGGTCAAACTGCAACCCTGCCATTTGCAATGAAACAAATGCATGGTAGCGTTATGTTTTCGGAAATTCATCCCAACATTGGCACTGATATCAGTCTGATATCATTTAAAAAAAAAAAATACACACTGCCCACTTTCACTGAAATCAATGGTGCTTGCAACAACCATATCATAAAAATAATGGGGCGAGTCAATCTCAAGAACCGCCAAACGTTGGTTTTCCACAGATGCCACACCTGACGCCGTTTTTGGGCGGCGCCGCACCCCCAAATCAAATGAACCACAAGCTGGCCGCGCACCAAAGTTTTGACTGGTTTCCAACTCACCACCAGTTAAACTGATTGGAACGACAAAATTTTGTCAGGTCAAAAGTGTGCAATCAATTTGGGGAGGACTCATCCTGCACACATACACTGAACATCCCCAAAACGACATTCCTTCCACTATGTGTCTGAAATTTTGGTCTGGGAAACAATATTTGTCACAATGACACACGCGACCAAAATGGCCGAAAACGAAAAATAAAATGAAAAAACGTGTCAAAATCATTGGGTCTGTCACAACACCCATAAAGTCAACAAAAACAAACCAAAATTGTTTTATCCCTCGAAGGCGTCATTGTTGAGGTCGTTTGGTGTTTAGCCAAGACAAATCTCAACAACAGCCCGGGGCTCAAACTATACCACGAACAAATGTAATATTTGTGTGTATAAAATATATAGTGCGAAGCAACGGGCAAAATTCAGCGCTCTCTATTTTGTGCCAAAAAGGGCCTCAACGTGAATGAGTCACGCATGATGTTCATGTTGCTCCAATGTGACACATGGCACCAGAACTCTTCTCGATTTGTGCTGCGTCATCCATGCAACTCTGGGACATGAGTAGGATCTACAGTTTTCCGCACTCCTCCTTTGGATGTTGAGTGCTCAGTCTATATCCAATTGCCAATGCATTTTCCAGCTCTATCCGCTGGGAAAAACATTTCGTCCTCCCAAATTTTGCGTCATCCCATCAATGAACTCATGTTTTCAACAGGGTCTGAAACTTTCCATCCTCTCATCTGAGCCGCGGTACCGATGCGTCCAGAAAAGTCTCTGAAAAACATTTCGGATAGTTCTCACCACTCTCACTGACAAGCCTGACTGAAATTGCTGTTTGTATTTGCGAAACATCCATCCAACGTTCATTCGCCAATGCCACATTCTGATCTCTTCTCATGTTTTCCAGCAGAGCCTCAGCTCGACCGGGGGAAGCATAAGAATCTGGCTCCACCACTGCATCATGCGTTGGAAGTTTTTCTTCCGTTTTTTCTCCATCGTGCATTGGGTCGGAGGTTTGCGGATCTGTAGTTTCTGCTCTGTTACGCAAGTTCCAAATCACCAGATTGGCATGTTTTTGAGTGAACATGTGTCCCCTCTGTTGTCTATCCAGTGAAGTATATCTCACAAAACCACCCAATTCCATCAGTCCACATTTCACGCAATCAATGGTTTCAATGAAGCCATGTTGCAAACTTTTCTTGAGCGCAAGACGCCTGTGGAAAGATCATATACTGCACTTGATCATAGCCCTTAAAGCTGTTGAAGTGAAAACTGCACGACAGCAGAAATCTGGGTGGAACCTATGCACATCACACTGATATGAACAGATATTACGCAAGATCTACTGCACTGCATGACATGAAAAGGTTTAGCACCCCGCCTTTGCACAGCAGTTTCTGCTAGTGCAACTTGAAACTGGCTAGGGATATTTGAATTATATACGTCTACGCTTCATCTTCTGATTTTGAGAGATCTGAAAGGGATTGCATCATGCTCCACACTGCAGGTCGCTGTTCCGGTCTGTTGTCACAGTATTTGCAGAGAGCCACCATGACCTGTCTCTGCTCAACACACTGTAGCATTTTGGCAGCTCGACCATTTTGCACACATCTGGTGATTCTTTCACTGGGTTGCTCAATCAACCACAAAGCCATATGTTCTGGGCTATGAGGCTGATACGGTTCTGCAGGTGCTTCATGACTGAGATCTGTAGGTGGATCAGGAGGCAGCAAGGACTCACAATCCGGTTCTCCCTCATCCTGTTCAAATCCAGTCTCACGCACCACTGAAATCAAATTGAAGGCATCAAACTGAGGGTCATGCCGTTGCAATGCAGCGTGCATCTCCATCATTGAACGCAAATTCCCTTTGTTGATCCCATCGCTTTCAAAAAGGAAATGAGTGTCAATGAGTATATCATAGGTTGCATTCAACTGGCTTACCATGGTATGGTTCTCATCAAACTCAGCTTCATCAAGCAGCTCCAAGCAACGCTTGACACAGAAAGTGAGAAAACCATAGACCGCTATTTTGTTGAAGCTTTGGCCGCTTGGTGTGGCTGCTGTACTCGTACCAGCTTCAGGCTCTGGCTCGTCTGCAGCATGGTATTGTTGGGGAATCATCATCACCAACGTCGAACACCAAATGCAGAAGAGAATCATCAAAGGAAAAATCCAAAGTGAGAAACCTGAAAGCTGAAATCCAAACCATCCAAAGGCTGACGCATGCATTGGGCTCAGCAGGCTCAAGGCGTCCGAACTGCTCACCACTGACATCAACAAAAGGGCTTGCAAGCTCTTTTTTGCCGACATCACCGTACCATGGGTAAATCTTTCACCAACACTCTCACGCAGCATTCGAAGCACACCCTTGAAATCACGAGCGGCTTGCTCGCGCGACACAAAATCGAATCCAACTAGTTCGCCTGAATCTTCATCAAAGACACCGACACCATGCATCAAGTACTGCATTCTTTCTCTTGAGGTTTCTTTGTTCCTAAGTCTGCGAAGTTCTCTTTGGTTGGGATGGAGGCAGTCTCCAATTGCTTGGACTTTACCAACTGCTGAATCCACAAAACTCTGCAGGATAAGTGTCTGATGCGTCCAACGCCAGATCGCTGCATCACTTGCTTTGCAGCGCTGTTATCCAAGATGATCTTCAAGCGAACCTTTTCGCCAGTGCAAAACTCCAAGCAAACGCGCAAGAGCAAACCATCACAAGTAGTTGAAACTGCAGCATGTACCTCAGCCTCTGCTGAGCTCAGTGCTACAACTCGTTGAGTCCTGCTTGTAGCAAGCAAGAGGCAACCCTGAAAGCATACGATGCCAGAGCTCACTGAACGTCTATGTCCCTTGTGAGCTGCCCAGTCTGAATCTGAAAAGATTTCGAGCACCAGACCAGCGCTGTTGCAAGGTGAATGCCACAGTCCGTCCGGACGTATGCAGAGGCGCAAACAGTGGTTGCGCACTGACACCAGGTAGAGGCAAAGGTGTTTCAACATCATCCAGCTTCGCTCGGTTGGTGCACTCATAAACTGAGGAAGGTCACGTATCGTGAAAGCACATTCCACCAAGTCGCTGGCCAAGTAGAGGAGGACACCCACGGCAGGTCTATACCGTGTAGCTTTGTCAGGGGTCAAGGCAGCAGTGTTGTCAACTTCACACATCAACTCATGGGAAGGAACTTTCTTGGCATTCATCGTGTCTTGAACACCAACTACTTCAAACAGCTTGTCAAAGTGACGTGGGTTCTGCTGGATATGGATGGTCTCATCATCCACCAAAACATGGATTCGTTTCAAAAACTCACACGTGTCACCGGCCTGGCTCATGCAATGCACAGAAGTCTTGTACTTGGCAGTCAAGGTTGGAACAAGTTTCTCAAAATATTGCTGATCTGTTACCACCAGCATGTCGTCAACCTGGAGTAGAGTGGGACACTCACCACCAGGGCTGCGTAGTAAACTGGGATATGCACTGCAATGCTCAAAACCAAGCTTCTCATTGAGGAACCCACTGACACTGTCAAACCACAACTGGCTTCCATCGCGCTGCCCTGGAAGTACACGCCCAAGTGCAAAGGTCTGTGTACCTGAACTGACCAGCGTCGGCTGGACCTGCGGCACCGTGAGGAAGGCGTCGCCAATGTCCAAGGCACCACCACAAACTTCTTCTCAGGGTATTTCTTCTTCCAGTGTAGGAAGATGTTTGGCAGCAACCTGTTGGTCACGTTGCTTGAGGCTGGACTGAAAAGATCCTGACGTTCAGGAGAAAGCCAAGCGTATTCCCTTGCCACATACCTGGCTCGTCTGAGCCAGCAACGCTTCCCATCAATGACCTTGTCACGCCAAGTGATGACGTAGCGTGTTGACAAATGCTTTGGATCCAAGCCTTCAAGAGTCTCTGGTGGCAGAAGAACACATTCTCTTCAAACGCAACGTCTCAACCTCTTTTGCAATGGCATCCAACTCTCCAACTTGCTCAGGCGATAGCTGCGGCTCATGTTCTGTATATGGGAAGGTCAGCTTCTGCAGCATTGCGTCCTCTGTGGGAATATCTGTCGCATCATCGCCTGCAGAAAGACCAAACTCAAACTCTTCCAAGCTGTCAGGTTCATCATGAGAAGAGGCCGTAAAGTTGTGGTCATCCTCGTGTTCATACTCAACACCAGCAACCATACAGATTCGGGCTTTCTTGGAAGCAGGCTCATCCCCATCTGCCGGGGTAACTGGTGCAGCATCAAACACATCAGCGGGTGTTGCCAGGCCTGATGTGGCTGCCATCGGTGGTGGTGGCATCATGGGGCCAATTGTATGCTCTAGCCCCGCCATGTGGGCAGGAAGTGCTTGTTTGTCGGCTTCATCCACCTCTATTGGAGTGGGTGGAATGTTCATGACAGCTTCTGCTTCTTCATCACGGAAAGGAGACAAATTGCTAGCTCCAGGCTGAGCACTGCCAGGGGGTAATGCCAAGGCTGGCTGAGGAGAAGGCTTCAGAACCCGCTTTGGCACCATTAGCTTTGATCCCAACGTTGCAAAGGCACAGTCGCAAGGGCTCATCTCCACATTGGCAACTTCAGTTGGGACCCAAGGCGTAGGGATACGCTGAACTGAACGTGTAATGAACAAAGCACCATTGCAAGAAATGATGTGTGCATCATTGTTTTGAGTCTTTCCCAGCCATACTCCACGCTGCCACGAAGGAAGGACTTTTGCTGAAGGTTTCAAATAACCCATGCAAGTCTCTGCAAACAAGCAAATTTTTCCATGGTACTCTTTGCGTGTGCACCGTTTGTATGGTGTCTCGCCATTGGACACTGCAAAACGGCAGTGAAGCCAGCTTGCATGAATCACAGCCCATGCATACAAAGGATGATGAGCCGTGAAAAGCAGCTTGTCGGTCACTCCAAGTGAGCGTTCCACCTGTTCAACAAGTAAATTGGCCTGATTGCGAATCACTTGAACTGTAAC